TGGGCTACTATTAGATGGATAGCCTAAATGTCCTAATTCAGATGGGCTACCTGTTTTTTTTATGGTATATCAAAAAGTGTATATTTTTTTTAATGTGATTGTTGGTACATTTTACCAGTTTTTACCATACTTTCAAAACAAAAATTTAAATAGGAAAAATATGCAATATGAAAATAATTGAAGACAAAATGTGTTTTACTGAGAAAAAACAAGATTTGGGTTTTAAAAAGCCTTTTTCCAAAAGGTACAACTGGAAAAAGGGGGGGTCGTCTTATAATCAGGGTCGTCTTATATTCGGGCCAATACGGTAGTATTTAATTTATAAAGTATTTTTGTTGAATTTTCACTTTTACTATTATGACATTAAATATCATGAGTTATACTGCTGACTCTTAGCTTTAATTATTCATATTTTATGTTCTCATTTTTTTTATGTTCTCCCCTATTTTGTTTTTGCATTCGGTTCCTGATTAACTTTTAATGATCACTTGTAACAGAATGAAAGCATATTGCGTAATACTTATAATAATATTGCGTATAGAGCTGCTTTTTAACATTTTAATTTTCAACATATTAATATTTGCTTACCAACTGCAAATAGTGTCTTATTGATGTGGTCATAGGCCTATATTACAAAGAACTCATGAGTAGTCAATGTTTATGCATTCAGGCAGATGCACAAGTGTTTGTTTATGTTAATGTGTCATGCAGGTTTGACACATGCATCAGTGTGGGCGGCATGCATCTCGTATTTGAGCGCTGCTGTTCCTCCAGCTCTGCGCACGTCAGCTCAGGGGATCCTGCAGGGGCTGCACCTGGGGCTGGGGAGAGGCTGTGGAGCCATGCTAGGAGGAGTTTTTGTGAACTTCTTCGGTATGACATCAACAAATACCATGTGACATCACAGACTTACCATACATGTGCCTCATGCATGCTTTTAAGCTGTTATATATTTAGACACAGTTACAAAGAATCTAATCTCTTTACCTCTTGTAGTAAAGGTAAATTCTACATTATTCTATATCCAAAAGTCTATGAAAATATGACATTTGTTTTTGTTTGTTTTATTTTTTAAACTTAAATACTAATAAATCATTACATCTTATTTGATCAAAAATACAGTTAAAACTATAAAATATTATTACAATTTTAAATAACCGTTTTGTGTTTGAATATATTTTACTAAGTAATTTATTATGTAATATTATGTAATATTTTCGTGGAAACCTTGATACACTGATTCAGAAGTTTGGGGTAAGTAAGTTAATAACACAAATAAATACGTTTATTCAACAAGGATGCATTCAATTGATCAAAGTGACCAAAGTTAATCTAAAAAAAAATATTTTTCAAATAAATTCTGTTCATTGAACATGCATCAAAGTTCATTTTCATAAAGGAATCCAAAATAAAATGTCACAGTTTCTACAAAAATATTAAACCGCAAAATCAGCACATTAGAATGATTTCTGAAGGATCATGTGACACTGAAGACTGGAGTAATGATGCTGAAAATTCAGCTTTGCCATCACAGGAATAAATTACATTTTTAAATATATTCAAATAGAAGACTAGAGTGATTTTAAATGGAAATTATATTTCACACTGTTACTGTTTATACATATATATATATACAATTTTAGAGAAATGTCTCAGACTTTTGGGCCTTAAATGATTTTAGCAAATGGCTGCAATATAACAAAGAGTGAAAAATTTAAGGGGGTCTGAATACTTTCCGTACCCACTGTATATAGATAATATCCAAAAGGGTGATGAGAAAACTTTTAGATTGTTCTTTTCATTGTGAATGACATTCATCTTACAGTATCAGGCTTGTTTCCTCTCAAGCTTCCTTTTTCATCTTGCAAATTTCCTTTTTAGGTGCTGCAGAGACCTTCAGAGGCCTCGGTATGGCCTCTCTGGTCACATTACTTATCTTCTCTCTGATACAGTGGCTGTTAGGTCAGAACGAGGATAAAAGTAAGTTCCTGCTGTTTTGCTGGAGTAAAACCTGTGACGGCTTATTGATTACGGCTGTGCTCTTTTACAGAGGGCTCGATGTTGGCTGAGAACATCCCAGTTCCCTCCAGCCCTGTGCCTATCGCCACTATTGACTTAGTCCAGAACCAATCTGCATCTCAGCCAAATCCCGAATCAAAGACGCCTCCTAAGAAAACCAGGCATCAGGAAGAGCAAGAAAATGCCAACAAGCCGGCCTGGGTGGTGTCTGCTTCCCCCTGGGTCACCATCGCTTTCGCCCTCTATCAGATCAGAGATATGGTTGCTTTGTCAAAGAACAACCACTGTGGTGAAAGTCAAGCCCCGCAGGTAGGGTGGCACCCTTTGTGATTTGGACATTAGGAGGTGGTGAAAGTTTCACTCCTGCTGTTTAATAACATTTCATGACCTTTTTCCTGCTCATTTTCTTATTTATGCCTGTATTAGTTTGTCATCTTGGCTTTTTGGTATGTAATTATTGTGAAAACCAATATGGAAAAACTTCATACTGATGGCAAATTATATTTTATACCTTTTTACTGAATGATTAACTCTTTCTCTTTGCATTCATGCTGTCCTTTTCTCAGGGGAAAGGTGAGGAAAAATATCTGTCTTTGCAATTTGTACACAAAAATGCATGCAGTCCTGTCACAGTCTGTAATCGCATTTCCTCTTTCATTCTTAATGTATTCTTGGATAATTTACATAAGTCTTACTAACACCGTTGTACAACCCACTTCTTACCAAAATAAATGCTTTTCTGTTGTCAGTTTTGTTTGTCCTTTCTTAAAACAGACTTCTGTGCTTCAGCTGCTTTGTGTCCAGTTTATTTTAATTTTTGAGCAAATGTTTAAAGTCAGGACATCTTTTATGTTGTCGTTTGTTTCCCCGCATTTGGCACAGTTACTTATTTGTCATTGTAAAGTAAACATAGTGTTTATATTTGAAGTCAAATAAATGCTTGGTTGGTGCATCTCATGAAACATTTCAAGAAGATGTCCAGGTCATATTTCACCCCCTAAGAATATATATATTTAAAAAAAATGCAAAAAATATTTGAATTAAGTATTAATGAATCATAGTAATTATTGTTTGTACTGCCTTTATTTTTAATAGAAAAGGTATTACATTACGAAGTATAATTTAATTTAGTCTTAAATTCAGTCTATAAAAATAAAAAGCATATACAGTATCTCCCAGAAGTGAGTACACCCCTCACATTTTTGTAAATATTTTATTATATCTTTTCATGTGACAACACTGAAGAAATTACACTTTGCTACAATGTAAAGTAGTGAGTGTACAGCTTGTATAACAGTGTAAATTTGCTGTCCCCTCAAAATAACTCAACACACAGCCATTAATGTCTAAACCGCCGGCCACAAAAGTGAGTACACCCCTAAGTGAAAATGTCATTTCTTCAGTGTTGTCACATGAAAAGATATAATAAAATATTTACAAAAATGTGAGGGGTGTACTCACTTCTGTGAGCTACTGTAGATGCATTATGGTAATGATAATTGAGGGGGGGGAAAGTTAATTATTTTTTTTTAATTCTTTTCTGGACCATTTGGTTTTTGGGCGTTTTTTTTTTTTTTATTACTAATATTTATGACTTAATCCACAAATTCTGACATTTTAGTTAAGAAAATGTATAATTTAAATTGTGAAATGTTTATGTGTCATAGTAATAATTGTTTATAGTGCCTCTCTTTTTTTATTAAAATAAAAGGAATCATTTCATTTAATCTTAACCCTATAGAGAATATTTAAATATTATTTAAAAAATAAAATAAAAAACGAAAATCTAGTTAACAATGTGAATTTTTAAGGAAATATCACAGCTTAAAGCATCATGATCCTAAAATAGGCTTCATTATTTTAATTTTGGGGTGAAATTACACGTTTTTTTATTCATTCTAGCACACATCTTAACAAATAAAATGTACCTTACCTTAGACATTTATTTCAAATGTTTAACCTTTATGTGTCCTCTTCTTGTACGAGACAAATGAGCAAACTTCAGCGACGCCACCTGCTGATGAAAACACATCATCTCAACCCGATACAATAAGTCCGGCAGAATATCTCTCACAAGGACATACTACTAGTGCATTCGTTCCTCAAAACACACATCCTGTCCGTCCTGTGGAAGAACCGCCTCCATCCACAGGGAGAAAAGAACCAGTAGAAAACTCAACTCAATTGCCAGGACATTCCAAACAGCTGCCTCCAATAGCACAACCACAATCAACACTCGACTGAACTTCTGTGGGAAATAGCCTTATGATTTAGAGACATGGTATGGGGTGTAAAAGATGACAGCTGACATTGGACCAAAAATATTATGTTGGCCTACAGGTATTCTACATTAGCCGAGGCAATAGAATCAATATGCTTTGCACTGCCACAGTTGATGTCATGCATTAGTTGCAAAGGGCTTGCAAGTCTTTGTACAGAATGCTTGAAGAGTTGGTGCCTACGAGGAAATCTGCATATTTCTGAGTGATAAATTTTTATAATCCAACAGCTGAGGTGCTTCAGCAAAATATTCATGGGACTTGCCATTGCACTCTGTATAAAATGTTATTTTGCTATTCATGCTTCCATATTACTTGTGACCAAATTTAAATATAAAACATCTACTCTGTATATAAATAAGATGTTAAAGCCATGCTCTGTTCTGTTAAATATAGTTATCTGTAAAACCAAGTAGCTAATACAAACCATCAGAAGGTATTGATTTGCCCTATATGGTGTCTGAAATCATGTGCCTCACAGCTTTGTGTATAATGACCTCTGCTTATAAAAGTTCTTGAAATGTTTACATGATGACACAATACAATATTCTGGTTGAGAATTTAGCCATTTGTCTTTTTTTAATTTAATTAAATGACAATATAAAAGGCTGTAAAAACGTAAAATGAAATGTTTTTTTTTTAAACATACATTCTTTCTTCAGCTAAAAGTTCAATAAAAAGGAAAGAATATTAAATGCCAGCATGTAGTCTGATGATGCAGAACATAAGACGATGAGTTGATTCATTTTGAAGGGATGGTTCACACTAACATGAAAATTCTACAGAGCCTCTAAAGCAGGGACGTCCAGTCCTGCTGATTTTGGCTTCAACCTCAATTAAACACACCTGAACTAAAGTAATCAAGGTCTTAAGGATTACTAGAATCTTCCAGGTAGGTAAAAGTTGGAAATAAAATCTGCAGGATGTCGGCCCTCCAAGACCAGGACTGGACACCCAAGCATTAAAGAAACTTGGTGATTAAAAAATATCAAGTGGAAGGGAAAAAAAACATTAAGTGCTTTAGCATTCTCTCGCAAGTTTTGTGATCCCCTGAGAAAATCTTTAGTCGTTCACAAAACTAATGTGCTGCCTCTCAAAACCTTTGCATACTTCCGAAAACAGAGTTTCTCGGGCGAATACAAACATTTTGCCAGCAAAAACGGGTTCTTGGGAGATAGCAAAAAGCTCGTTCTTGCACGCCACTATTTAAAAAAAAAAATGTAAATATGTGCTAGCCGTAGTGTTTGACTATTAAGTTAGCTTTTCTCGCCGTTGATTTTTTTTTTTTTTTCATTCCAATGCCCTTATGGCTTTAGAAGACTTGGAATATAGTGCAACATATGGACTATGTTTATGGTCCTTTTTTGTAATTTTTGGAGCTCACAAAAGTTATATTTCAATGCTTCTGCGTTTACGCACGATTTTGTTTGAACAGCCACTAGGATGGCTTTATGTGATGAATGAATTTAAATTTAAGTTGTTATTCAATAATAATACGTTCTGCTATTATATGAACATAGCTATCATATGACGTCAGAAGACGTGGAATAGAACGCACAAGTCATGAAGATGCTTTGATGTGCAGTTTTGAATCTTTTGGAAACCGTATGTCCTCGTTTAGTTTTACTATATGATAAAGAGCAATTTGGAGATCCTGCTAAACTTCCTCTATGTGTTCCAAGGAAGACAGAGGTTTGGATTAAGATGAGCGTGATGTAAACCAGACACAATTTGCACTTATAAGTGAACTGTTCCTTTAACCAACACTAGAGTGCACTGTTTCCTTCAATTACATAAATGCTGTGGGACTGTATGTGGAGTCATTGTCTTGAGCAGTTGAGGCAAATGTATTAGCAAACTGCAATGATGTCCTGATGATCTGATATACCTGAGAGCAGCACAGTCACTATCTATTCACACACACTATTAACATACAGTATGTACAAAAAAAGTGTTATTCCCAGCTCTGCATCACTTGGGTACGAGAATACAAACTCCTGCTAAAAAAAATATATAATAGTAGCAGCCCACTCTGTCTGAAAGAGATCATTTAAACGCAAATGAGAAAGAAATATTATTTTTACAATCCTTATGGACCTACTAATGTTCCTTCGAGTCATTCCTTCCTAAAAATGTTTAGCGTTTCAAAAAGTCTTTTTAAAATGAACATGACAAAATTGACAACAGGACAATTTTAAAAGAAGTCCTGGTCTTCTGGATCCATGGGTTCTGGCTGAGGGGCGTAGGTGACAGGGGGATACGGGCAGACAGCTGGAGTATATACAGTATATACAGCAGGACTGGGGACGTTATTTAGGGTTGGAGGACTGTTACTATCCAGCTCATCTTCGCTATTGTCCTCTGCTTCTCCTCTGTGCGACTGGGTGTCACTGGAGCTGCTGTTGAAGAGCACGTTTTCGTAATATTCCCCACCAAGCCCGTACTGATTCTCATGATTCTGAAGCTCCTCTTGAGTGACGTGACTGCCATTGCGCAGAAACTCTGCAAACCTGAAAGAGGCAGAAACAACGTGAGGAATATCATTCAATAAAATGGGATATATACAGTACATGTGTGCTCTGTAAACATGCTTATTTTGATGAATACAAACTGTAATTACTTTTGCGGCGATCTGAGCCTCAACACAGTGTCCCATGCAGGAAAGCCAGACTTGTTACAGTGCTCCTGTAATTCTTCCAGGGAGGCTCTGGTGTGGATCTCTCCCTGCTCTCTGTACTCCTCCTCAGTCAGTAGCCTGACCTTGGGCCGTTTCTTCCTCCGGAACAAGCCCAGGAATGAGTAAAAGAGACTGAAGGCATAAAGTCAGAGTTAATGCATGCAAATTTTTATGATTACATATTTCACCTGTTCAAAGGTCAATTTCATCATATGATTCACTTTCAGTTTCTTAAGACTTAGTCAACATGAACTCAAAATTACTGTATTTTCTTTGCCAGCAAAAACGGGTTCTTGGGAGATAGCAAAAAGCTCGTTCTTGCACGCCACTATTTAAAAAAAAAAATGTAAATATGTGCTAGCCGTAGTGTTTGACTATTAAGTTAGCTTTTCTCGCCGTTGATTTTTTTTTTTTTTTCATTCCAATGCCCTTATGGCTTTAGAAGACTTGGAATATAGTGCAACATATGGACTATGTTTATGGTCCTTTTTTGTAATTTTTGGAGCTCACAAAAGTTATATTTCAATGCTTCTGCGTTTACGCACGATTTTGTTTGAACAGCCACTAGGATGGCTTTATGTGATGAATGAATTTAAATTTAAGTTGTTATTCAATAATAATACGTTCTGCTATTATATGAACATAGCTATCATATGACGTCAGAAGACGTGGAATAGAACGCACAAGTCATGAAGATGCTTTGATGTGCAGTTTTGAATCTTTTGGAAACCGTATGTCCTCGTTTAGTTTTACTATATGATAAAGAGCAATTTGGAGATCCTGCTAAACTTCCTCTATGTGTTCCAAGGAAGACAGAGGTTTGGATTAAGATGAGCGTGATGTAAACCAGACACAATTTGCACTTATAAGTGAACTGTTCCTTTAACCAACACTAGAGTGCACTGTTTCCTTCAATTACATAAATGCTGTGGGACTGTATGTGGAGTCATTGTCTTGAGCAGTTGAGGCAAATGTATTAGCAAACTGCAATGATGTCCTGATGATCTGATATACCTGAGAGCAGCACAGTCACTATCTATTCACACACACTATTAACATACAGTATGTACAAAAAAAGTGTTATTCCCAGCTCTGCATCACTTGGGTACGAGAATACAAACTCCTGCTAAAAAAAATATATAATAGTAGCAGCCCACTCTGTCTGAAAGAGATCATTTAAACGCAAATGAGAAAGAAATATTATTTTTACAATCCTTATGGACCTACTAATGTTCCTTCGAGTCATTCCTTCCTAAAAATGTTTAGCGTTTCAAAAAGTCTTTTTAAAATGAACATGACAAAATTGACAACAGGACAATTTTAAAAGAAGTCCTGGTCTTCTGGATCCATGGGTTCTGGCTGAGGGGCGTAGGTGACAGGGGGATACGGGCAGACAGCTGGAGTATATACAGTATATACAGCAGGACTGGGGACGTTATTTAGGGTTGGAGGACTGTTACTATCCAGCTCATCTTCGCTATTGTCCTCTGCTTCTCCTCTGTGCGACTGGGTGTCACTGGAGCTGCTGTTGAAGAGCACGTTTTCGTAATATTCCCCACCAAGCCCGTACTGATTCTCATGATTCTGAAGCTCCTCTTGAGTGACGTGACTGCCATTGCGCAGAAACTCTGCAAACCTGAAAGAGGCAGAAACAACGTGAGGAATATCATTCAATAAAATGGGATATATACAGTACATGTGTGCTCTGTAAACATGCTTATTTTGATGAATACAAAATATAAATACCTATGTGGTGATCGCAGCCTCAACACAGTGTCCCATGCAGGAAAGCCAGACTTGTTACAGTGCTCCTGTAATTCTTCCAGGGAGGCTCTGGTGTGGATCTCTCCCTGCTCTCTGTACTCCTCCTCAGTCAGTAGCCTGACCTTGGGCCGTTTCTTCCTCCGGAACAAGCCCAGGAATGAGTAAAAGAGACTGAAGGCATAAAGTCAGAGTTAATGCATGCAAATTTTTATGATTACATATTTCACCTGTTCAAAGGTCAATTTCATCATATGATTCACTTTCAGTTTCTTAGACTTAAGTCAACATGAACTCAAAATTACTGTATTTTCTTAATGCATGTCTTATTGTGTACAATATTGTGTACAGTTCAACTCAAAAATGAAAAAATATGCAATCTACTCCACGGTACTGCAACCCTACAGATTTAAAGTTCATTCTTTTAATTCGGCTAAGAGGTCACACCGACGCCGTGACTTATCAATCTACTACTGATTACATGTCTTCACGAGATATGAATTCGCAGGGCAGAGTTCATCAAACTTGAACTATGGAACAAAGCAAAAAATCACATGAGCTTGTGTCTCCTGCATTCGCTTTTGTGTGAATGGAAGTCAATGGAACAAAAAGTAGTGTCACCGGCCCTTTACTTTTTAACCCCTTTCCTCCAACCACCTGGCTTCATTTTGGTAAATAACCATGATCAGCTTTTGAATAAATTGGGTGGGGAAATATAAAGCCCTACCCTAAACATTTCTCACCTGTTTCACAGTTTGTGGTGCTTTTCTTACCTGCAAATCCACATCAGAAGGCTCCAGGCCAAGGGCAGAATCTTCCAGCACAACAGTAACATGATCAGTACGTAGTAGGCAGGGGGGATAGTGATCCCATAGTACAGCAAAACCATGCTCACTACTTGCATAGCCCAGGTCATAAAGTTGAGGGTGTATTTGTTGGTGATGGGGCCGTGTTTATAGCATACAGCAAAGCTAACTAACCCCGATATGAGCACATAAACTGCAGAGAAAGAGAAAAGAGAAAATGTCAACATAATTTTTAAATGTCAAGTTTGGTATTATTGACCTCCCTGCACATGCATGCATACATACATATGTACATAAAGCACCGTACCACTTTATGTAGCAAGGTAACAATAAAAAAAGCATGCCTAATTTGTATCAAACAGAAGCAGCCTGCCTGAGCTTGCCTGTCATTCATAAACAGCCCATAAAGCAATAGCAATAATACGTACACAGAACACTCAGGGTAGATAGATCTATACGCACTGAAACGACTAAACGTCATGTTGAATATTCATTTTTGGGTGAACTATTCCTTAAAGGCAAGCTTTCACTTGCTAAAATGTGCATGGGTGACTATGGGCCATCAATATTAAATAGTGGATGTCATGTGGTGTATTTGTCGAGTTTACATTCACTGAATGCAAACATTATGGGCTGCTGCTGCAACAGAGCAGAGCAATGGATTGCTAAATACTTTAGAACATGAACTCAAAATTACTGTATTTTCTTAATGCATGTCTTATGGTGTACAATATTGTGTACAGTTCAACTCAAAAATGAAAAAATATGCAATCTACTCCACGGTACTGCAACCCTACAGATTTAAAGTTCATTCTTTTAATTCGGCTAAGAGGTCACACCGACGCCGTGACTTATCAATCTACTACTGATTACATTTCTTCACGAGATATGAATTCGCAGGGCAGAGTTCATCAAACTTGAACAATGGAACAAAGCAAAAAATCACATGAGCTTGTGTCTCCTGCATTCGCTTTTGTGTGAATGGAAGTCAATGGAACAAAAAGTAGTGTCACCGGCCCTTTACTTTTTAACCCCTTTCCTCCAACCACCTGGCTTCATTTTGGTAAGTAACCATGATCAGCTTTTGAATAAATTGGGTGGGGAAATATAAAGCCCTACCCTAAACATTTCTCACCTGTTTCACAGTTTGTGGTGCTTTTCTTACCTGCAAATCCACATCAGAAGGCTCCAGGCCAAGGGCAGAATCTTCCAGCACAACAGTAACATGATCAGTACGTAGTAGGCAGGGGGGATAGTGATCCCATAGTACAGCAAAACCATGCTCACTACTTGCATAGCCCAGGTCATAAAGTTGAGGGTGTATTTGTTGGTGATGGGGCCGTGTTTATAGCATACAGCAAAGCTAACTAACCCCGATATGAGCACATAAACTGCAGAGAAAGAGAAAAGAGAAAATGTCAACATAATTTTTAAATGTCAAGTTTGGTATTATTGACCTCCCTGCACATGCATGCATACATACATATGTACATAAAGCACCGTACCACTTTATGTAGCAAGGTAACAATAAAAAAAGCATGCCTAATTTGTATCAAACAGAAGCAGCCTGCCTGAGCTTGCCTGTCATTCATAAACAGCCCATAAAGCAATAGCAATAATACGTACACAGAACACTCAGGGTAGATAGATCTATACGCACTGAAACGACTAAACGTCATGTTGAATATTCATTTTTGGGTGAACTATTCCTTAAAGGCAAGCTTTCACTTGCTAAAATGTGCATGGGTGACTATGGGCCATCAATATTAAATAGTGGATGTCATGTGGTGTATTTGTCGAGTTTACATTCACTGAATGCAAACATTATGGGCTGCTGCTGCAACAGAGCAGAGCAATGGATTGCTAAATACTTTAGTATACAATCAAAAGAACAATGGTGAAATATAAATGTAACAATAATGGTTATATTAATTTACTTGGTATATATATAATTAATTTACTTGGTATATATATATAAGTATATATACATATACTTACATATATATTGATTTTCAGGATGTTCTGATTAATACAGTTCAAAAGAACAGCTTTTTTTTTTTGCAAAGTAGAATATTTTTGTTTTTCTTTAAATTGTTATTTTGCTTTACTGTCACTTCATAAAATATTTAAATCTTTAAATCTACTTTTTGTTTTGTTTTGCTTTTGAAACAAATGGTTTTCTAGATAATGATAGTAGATGGGGACCGGTCTGTCAAAAAATCATGATAAATGTTGTCTAAGTGATTTGTACACTATATTTCAAGTCTTCCTAAGCCATATGAAACTTTTTTTGTGAAATTATTTTTTTTTTAAAAGTCTTCCCCTCTAGCTAAAATCCCTTTCGTTGTATAGAATCATTATATGGAAAAGAACATCTAGCTCGTTTAGCTCTTTAAATCAAAAATCCCCTTTTGACAGCAAGTCACAAAATGCTTTTTTGAGTGAACTATTCCTTTAATGTTACAGTAGATTTGAGAAAACAAAGAAGAAAAAACAAAGAGGAAATAAAAGGGCCAAAAAAAAAAAAACAGACATTCACTGGGGCTGTAATCCTCCCAGAGCCTTTTTGTTTTAGGCATAGAAATCAATGTTCCAGCAGCACTGCGGATTCTTTCCCTTAATCTTAATATGCCTGTGGTTCTCGCATTCAAACACTGATGCAAATTGAAAAAACAAAAAAAAAAAAACAAAAAGGAAAAAAAAGGGCCAAAAAAAAAAAAAAACAGACATTCACTGGGGCTGTAATCCTCCCAGAGCCTTTTTGTTTTAGGCATAGAAATCAATGTTCCAGCAGCACTGCGGATTCTTTCCCTTAATCTTAATATGCCTGTGGTTCTCGCATTCAAACACTGATGCATTTACATACTGCGAGTGTCTGAAGAGGGAAATTGATTTGGCAGAGAATAGTCTATTGAGCGGTCAAGAGGCAGTCATTTCAGCATTCAGAATACTTGGCCCTCATATTATAACACTAACGGAGCCAAGATATACGATACAAAAGGTGAATCTCAATCTGCTCTAGACTGTTACTATGCAATGCTGGCATGTTCTAATGCGAGCGCTTCCGTTGATGAAACATGCAGCGAGAGTGTAGAAGGATAATCTGTCTAAATGACATGTACGGTAATTATTCTATTGTATAAAGAGCACGTCAAGCAAATTAACAGACAACACGTGGCATTCGACTGAAACGCAAAACTGTACAAAAGGTACATTTGAAAGACCATTTATTAACATTAGCGAAGGCTTACTGTCTGATGTAATTGGCTGATGAGATGATTGCAAAGGAAAACAGGGCAAGATGGGTTGTAACAGAAAAAGGTTGCCTAGTTACCCAGTAATTCCATCCAGTGCTCAGTCACGACGTCATCCCATTCATTTATCACCCTCTGGATCCCCATGTAGGACAGACCAGAGCCAGCGCCCAACAACACCAGGAACAGCCCTCGCTGGGGGGAAAAAAGCAGAGCCTTAGTGAAAGTGCTTGACCTTCTGACCTACCCCAAAACTATGAGCTGCCAGTCAATCTGTAAATGATTGCACAGCCCTGTTTTTTTTTTTTTTTTACATAAAACTTTACGATGATGTACATGCCTGAGGATGTTTGTGTTGAGGAGTGAGTCTCCACCTCCCTTTATCTTTAATCTCATCAATGCCAGCATTGACAGGCTTAAACTCATACTACTCATCCAACATGTTTGATCAGTGGGAGGAAACATGTGATACTGTGTATCATGATCATGATAAAGGTTGTGACAGTAGCATTACACACCGTTGGTACGAAGTTTCTGAGAACAAGCGTCAGGAAAACAAATGTGCCGACGACTCCCAATGTAACTCCGGTGGTGTAGAAAAACAGTGAGCTCCTGGAAAACATGAAGAGTCGGTTAGAATAATAAGTTTTAAGTTTCAACCACAAATTAATTAAGAAACAATTCATGGTGACCATGGCTGTCAAGCTCCAAAAAGGACAAAAAAAGCACCATAAAAGCTACATGAAAGTAGTTCAACATGACTTGTGAGTTATAATCATGCAATAGTTTTTGTGTTAGAAACACACTGAAATTTAGCTTGTTATTCACTGAAAATCTTCCCCGGTTACAACATACGTGAGAACCAATGTCTTTTTGTCATCAAACCTTGTGTGGAATGCACACTATTTTCAATGTTAATGCAGGTGAGACTTCAGAGCATTGGCGGACAGCCAGATTTTCAGCTAACAAATATTACATTTTATGCATTGACTGCAAGACCCCTATTGTTCAAGATGTTGTTTAAAGCCTCCCATGAGAGCGAATATACTTCAGCTGACAAAGCTGCTTGTTTTAAACTTTTTAACAAAAACTAAGAATGGCATTATAGTGAAATAATAACAGATAATTAAAATTAATACAAAATAAATAAATTCCATAATACCAGGCATCTCAAGAAGTAAATGTATTTCACACTCTATGTCCAATGAAATTACACGGTGTTTCCAGATGTTCCATGATTATGGGATAAGGTTTTGCATTATTTTAATCAGATAAAATGCTCCGGGTGTGTGTTCACGGTGTGTGTGTGTGTGTGTTCACTACTCACTGCTGTGTATGAGCACTTGGATGGGTTAAATGCAGAGCACAAATTCCGAGTATGGGACACCATACTTGGCCACATGTCACATCATTTTCATCACTTTCACTAAAGCTATTTCTACCTGTTACAATATTTTAGAGCTTGACATATATTGAAAAAAATAATCACATTTATTACAGAAATTTCCATGACATTTCTAGGTCTGTAAAATCACACTATTTGCTCATGCAGTGTCCAGGTTTTCCAAGACCATTAAAAAAAATTTATTTTTGTGGGCATGAATTAAAATAATATTGACCCTTGTTTAATTGTTCATCTTGCAGCCCTCTTTGAAGTGTGTGGCCCCCTGGTTGAGAACCTCTTTAATAAAGGCTTTATAAATTTTAAATCACGTACTGAACTAAATATACCCTAACCAGGCCAGAGTATGAGAGTGGAGTGGCAACAATTTCTCCTCCGAACTCCAAGTATTCACTGATCACTCCACTCCAGGTTCAGCATTTCCTGCTCCTCGCTCAACTGATCAGAAACACCACTCCGCCTTCGCTCCATGACGAAATTTGCGACTAAAATATTTCAGTATGTTTTGAAATATCACAAAGTTCTGTTCAGAACTTATATTAAACGAAAAATAAATACACAATATTAGAAGAATAGTTTAATATTAAATTACTTTAACTCACTTGTCTGTGCAGCGTCTCTCTACAATGGCGAAGCTGATGCGCGACCTTTCTAAAATTTGAGCTGTTAATGTAATGTAACGTTATCAGTTTTATGTTCAGTATTATGGTTTGAAGGCATGTACTGTTTCAGATGAATGAGTGGAAATGAATGATTAAACGAGTATTTAGTTTAATGTTAAAGGGAAAAAAAAAAGCCAATCTGGGCAGTGGATTTCTTTTCATTTTACAAGCTCTTGAATTCAGTGGTATGAAAAAGGTTTGAAGTATTATGTTCTCGTTGGTATAATTTTTTATGGTTACAAGCTGAGTTACTTCAGAAACAAAGAATATGCTGTAACTTTTCCGTTTTCAAGCTGATAAAATCACAGGACATTGTTGACAATAATTTTCTGCACTCCTGAATGTTTCTATGTGCGCGTGATCTGTACGTTATGTACAAACTTGTGTGTTGTGTGCAGCAATGTAGCAGCACTTTAGATTAAAGCGGAGATTAAATACCTGTACAATAACCTGTTTAAAACGTGAATTCACCCAATCAATATTGAGTATCCACATGCTACAAACAAACATGCTTGAGATATAACCTCCCGCACTCGACCATCGCCGTCATTATACATTCACCTTCTTTCTGATTTGAGTGATCCACATATCTGTCAAGCTAGCTAATGATGCGTGAATTCTTGATAAAATGCAGTTATATATAATGGGCTGTTTGCATTAATTGTGCTCATGATAGAGCGGTAGTGGAGTGCTCTTGGAGCAAGTGAAAACCACAATGCTTTCAAAAAATCCACTCCTTGCTCCAGTCAAAAATCACGCCACTCCGCTCACATACTCTGATCCAGACAGCACAAGCAGGCATTAACTGACACCCAAAATATGACTTCAGGAGACTACAATGTACCACACAAGTTGCACTTTTTTGATGGTCAGATGGTCTATATAAAAAAAAAGGCTGCATACAGATTCTTAAAAAAATGCCTTCATTTTTGTGTGTACAATTCCTTAAAATGTAGTGTGATTTTTATATTAAACTACTTTATCCCAGTTTAAGGTGGTGTAATTATTTAAAAAAGAAGAAAAAAAACTTGATCAGAATTAAATCTGATTCTCTACTGCAGATTATCTCTAGATGAGAACATCTGAACTGCTAAATTGCCACTTACCTGCATATGTTTCCCGCTCCGAAAAACAGCACCAGCCCACACATAAAAAGCAGAAAGCACATTCTATTTAACCCTGTAAAAGAACATAAATAATCATGATTCAGTGCCCAACTACTCTTTATAAGAATAAGGTGCGAGTGATATTCTGGCTCACTTTTGTTGGAGACGTGTAGTGTATACTTAGTATTGCTTCTAGGCGATTTGGTCATGAAGCAGACATCTTCATCAACCAGAGGAATGTCCAAAGACTTCTCCCTTTGGATAGTGGATGGCCAGTAGTGTTCAACAAAGCAGTTAGTAACTGTGAGAAGATCATCCGGATGATGGCAATTTCTGGTCTCCATCGGAAACACGACAAAGATGTCCTCATCACTTGTCACATTTACCTGTGAACAACATATGTCTTGTCAGTATTCAATTTAAAGGGAGTTTACTCACCCTCATGTTATTACAATAAAATAACATAAATGTTTAAAAAACACACACACGACATTAAGATTAAATAACATTACAGCGTGATGTGATATTACCTTGAAGGTGGACCAGAAGTCCTTCCATTCGATTTCTGTACCAGGGCTGTAACAGAAGCATTGACTCCCAGAATACTCGTGGGCACTGTCTCCTTTCACATAGGTGCAATCTGTCAGAATCAGGAAAGAATCAGTGTTACTCCTCTGCTTTAATTTAACAATCCCCATCATTCGTTTTCTTTTTTTCTATGTCTAAAACAGTACAAAAGCGTCCCAGAAAATCACAGCTGGCAACAGAAGAGCTTCTGCCCACAGGCTAAATTCATTCTAATCACTATACTACTACAACTGCAGCATCCTCACTTTCTAAATCCTGACATGCTCATGTGTGGTTGCTTCGATCCAAAAGTATTACTCACACAATTTATTGTTGTTGTTCATTTATAAATGGACGTATCACTTATGGCAGGGTTTCCCAAACTGGGGTTCATAAGGGAAATGTTACTGTAATACATTTGTTATTTTGATTAGATAATCATTAAGGGTTCTAAAAACAAAAGCAAATAAAGTGGGAGAGTATACATACAATATACATACATATGTCCCTAATTTCAATGCTATGGCCTTTGTGTAAATATTTAAAGATGGCCATCTTTAAGCATGACTGTTTTGTGAAATGGTAACACTTTACAATAAGAATCCAACATGTCATAACAATAAACATCAAGGTATATGCCTAATTAATATATTAATATTTATTTATATTTAAAATGTACAGTACATTTTCACGGTTCAGTGGTGGTGTTTTTTTTTCTTTTTTGTAGTAATAAGGTTGAGCACAATTTTACTTAGAAGTGTTATGTTTGTTTTCAGTCAGTATCCATTTTAAAAACTACTTATTGAATCCGTTGCCAACCAGTGTGGTCCAACCTAGTTATCATTATCGGTAAAATCCACTATCGGTTCACCTCTATTTATAATCCATAAATCAAATTTTCTGTCAAGTGGGCTTATTTGGATCTACTCCACTGTCACATTAATACAACTCATAAACATTAATACAATTCATAAACTTTTCTACATTGTTTTCATCAATGGAGACAAACTGGACACTACAGGGCCTAAAATAAGGCCTCACAACCAAAAGACAGAGTTGTTATCTAGAACCTGAAACAGAGAGTGAATAAATGAGTCTTGACAGACAGGTTAGAAGGACCATGATAAGATTACAAACACATGCAGACAAACCAGTTATGTTTGGTTATTGTTGATTGGATGCTGAAAAATCTCACATACTAAAACCGTAATCCATATTGCTTTTTCTAAAATAAAAAAGGCAGTAAAACCACATACCACGTTTTATTTCCTTAGTCTTTTTTAAAAACGTATGTAATACTGTTCTCATAAAACTATTTTTTTTTTACAGAACAGTCTACTTTCCTTAAAAACTTAAAAATACAAAATATAAACAGATTATATTATAAATAGATTTTAAAAATAATAAAGTCCCTATCCACACAGCACCACGGGTATACAAATGCTTCTCTAGATTTTGACATACAGCATGTGTCCACTGTCCAGCTCACACAGTTCACGACCCAAATAAACAGTACTTTAACTGCACTCGGCGATTTTATCGCATTCAAAATCCCATAGATAAAGGTACGTAGCATAATACCGTTATCTATACACAATGTGCCTGTTTTGTAGTGTTAATGGCGTTTGTTTATGCTGCTGTCTGTTTAGCATATGACTCAAATCATTTACCTGCGTATGAATATCCTTTGTTTCCCCCTGCACGTTGCCATGAAGCACACAAAAGAGTTAAAACGGGTATAAAAGCAGCTAACTTCCCCATGTTTTTGTGGATTATTGTGTTAAATGGATAGATTTGACAGACAGCAGGTTAATGATTGGCCCGCTAAGCTAACATGAGCTAAGCTAATGTTTTCGGGTTCAAATTCGGTGGGCTTCGTGTAACCCAGACCAGACTAACAGTTTCAGAGTGCATGATGGGTCCCGATATTTAAGTTACTCATTTGTCATGTAGAATTTATCATGTAAAATGCTAAATTACAAAAGTCGTTAGATGCACAAAAGCGCGCATTGAAAGCTATTTCAAAGTTTAAGTTGTCTTAATGGAGTCTATTTGGGCGTTTGATGTTCGATTAGTCCAGTCTTAATACTCAGTCAAAGTAAACAACGCTATTTGTAGTTAGATTTACGTACTATTGTAGTTTTTAGTATTTTCAGTTGGCTTCTATTATTATTATTATTATTATTAATTTATTTTTTTTAGTCTTTGTTTTAAGTTTAGCATAAATTTGATTAATTTTGTTGTGTGGTTTTTGTCATTTTTATTACTTTTTGTTCTTTTTAAATTTTACTATTTAGGTTTAATTAATTTTTATATCAGCCTTCATATTTGTATATCATTTATTTCCTAGTAATTTTAGTGCTTTAACTTTGTAGTTAACTTTTCAATATTTCTAATTTTCATTTAATTTTTCCATCTGATATTTAAGTTTCATTTTATTTTATTTGTGTTTATAAGTTTAGTGTAAAAATGCCAAGAAGAAGCTATTCTGATATTAATAAGATGATATTACATCCATTTGATCACAACAGAAGGTTGAGCACATTGCATTGTCTGTCTGTTAAAATCTTAAAAATCATGAATTTTGTAATGCCTTAACATAATTAATTGTTATTATATAGTAAAATGTAGAAAACATGGAAAATCCATTGTCTATCAGCAATTTTAAGCAATCTTAAAATGTCTAGTCCTGCAAATGCAGTCTTGAAGCAAACACAAAGATAAGCTGTGGGAAGAAAAACGTTAAACCAAAATCTAGAGGAGACCAGATGAAAATGTCATCTCTGTGCATTCTTTGCCCTTTGAAATGGAAGGGGGATTTTTGTGGTGGGTGTAGACACAGCAGGCGGCTGCTTTCTCATTTCTCCAGGATGCAGAGACAACAGCGGCTTTTCCTGACAGGCACACCCACGCCAGGCTGAGACCCACTGTCACTTACGCTTGCATGGAGTCAGCAAGCATCTGACTAATGCAGATGCTGTCATTTTTATTCTAGGAAGAATTCTAACCTCGTTGCCCAAGAAAGAGAGCATTTCTTTTCTCAGGCAACCTGTTAAATGACAACATTTTAATCATTTTGCTGCATCAATAACTTTTAGCACTAATAATGAAGCTTATCTTCAGTTGCTGTAGCAGACTGTCAGAAGGTAATGTCCCACAGGGGAAAGTATACTAAGAAAAAAAGTGTTGGTTAGAAGGCTTTGTGGTTTTTGTTAAGGTACAGAAAGTCCCGTTTTTGACGCAGAGTCAGTTAAGGGCCTTTTAACAAAATAGCTCCACAGGTTTCATGACCGCTGGTTCAGAATATTAAGAGATAATGGTAAATAAGATGCAATATATATATATATATGTACTATATATATATATATATATATATATATATATGTATATGTACTGTATATATATGTATATATATATATATATATATATGTTAGCCTTTTTATCACACATTAATCGTAAACATGCATTAATAGACAGTAAATTAATTATAAATGAATTGTTAATATGCATGGAATAGTTCACCCAAATATAAAAAGTTGCTGAAAGTGTACTCAGCCTCAGGCCATCCAAGATGTAGATGAGTTTGTTTGTTCATCACAACAGATTTGGAGAAATTTAGCATTACATCACTTGCTCACCAATGGATCCTCTGCAGTGAATGGGTGCCGTCAGAACGAGAGTCCAAACAGCTGATAAAAACATCACAATAATCCACAAATAAATCGCACAACTCCCGTCCAGCAATTAATGTCTTGTGAAATGAAAAGCTGCATGTTTGTAAGGAACAAATCCAACATTAAAGCGTTTTCACTTTAAACCGTTGCTTCTGGCCTAAATGCATAGTCCACAATCCATAATAACACTTCCTCCAGTTAAAAAGTTCATCCCCTGTTGTCCTCTCACATAAAAATCACCGACATATTTGTTTACAACTGTTTTGAATTGTTTTCTCTTGGTCTGTGCAGTTGTGTGCATATTTGTCTCCTACTTCAGACGAGATAACTTTTTCACTGGAGAATGCAATATTATAGTGAACTCGTATTTTAGCCAGAAGCAACTGTTTGAAGTTAAAAACATCTATAAATGTCTGTTTATTACAAACATGCCGCTTTTTACTTTATAAGATATTAACTGATGGACTGGAGCCATGTAGATTACTTCTAGATTATTGTTTTAATCAGCTGTTTGAACTCTCATTCTGACGGTGATGTAATGCTAAATTTTTCCAAATATGTTCCAATGAAGAAACAAACTCATCTACATCTTGGATTAAATCTACATCTGGAGTACATTTTCAGCAACTTTTCATTTTTGGGTGAACTATTCCTCTAACTGTAAATATGCATTAATAGACACTAAATTAATTGTAAATATGCATTAATAAACACTAAGGCTCTAAATTTCCAGTTTATTTTGCATTTGATTCTTAATTCTCCTTATTTTATGTCACAGAATGAGACACAAGTTTCAAAATGAGACACAAGTTTCATCATAACAGCTGCGGTCTACTTCAAAAAGAGGTTTTGGCAAAGAGCGCATTCCATGGACGAACGCCTCTCCAAAACAGAGAAGGACTTCTGAGCTTGTGATTAGTGGGCTAAAATCTGACACCCACAGAGCTGGGCCTTATGTTGGTGCACTTAAGCCCGTCCTACACCCAGGATGGCTGGAGGACTTTGAAGGCAAATAAGGCCTCAAGGCTTTCTGTCCAATGAAAGTGCTCAATGTTGGTGACTTCTTTTCTTGATCTTTCTGTTTCTTTGTTGTTGTGTTCATTCATGTGCAGGCCACATGTTCTGCAGTTGCATTTTTATAATAGCGGCACATTTGTGGTGATGTGATCTTTGTTTTGCGAGTTGGAAGATTGGCAGTTTCTTCTTTGTGTATTTTCTTACACTTGCTTATGCTTTTTTTCCGTTCTGTTTCCTGAAGGAGGATAGGGTGGTAGGCTGCTGCTAGGCTGCAGAGAGCAAGAACGGTGATTGACATAAGCAGAGAGCTGAAAAAAATCAGTCGAGGCTGAGTCTTTCTGTAGGTAGGCGGATGAGTGAGGCGAACCAATCCTCAGCAGAGCTTGTTTTTAATTGGCGTCTGGTAAACATCAAACGTGAAAAAAACAGACGATTCCATCTTAAGATACAGGGTGTTTTGGAAAATATGTTACACTCGCTGTGTGATTTCATCTATTGCTTTATGCTGAACATATTGCAAGTTATTATATTCCTGAGATGCTCGCTGTCTCGGGTCATTAAAAACTCTTGTTTGCTTTGTTGTCAGAATTGTAAGTAGTGCAGATGCTGAGGAGGAGTTTTTTACTTGAGGGAACGCTTGAATGTTTTAATGCTCTTCTTTGTGCTAAATGTTGTTTATTTTAATTAAAGTTCACCCAAAAATGTTAATTCTGTCACAATTTTCTCATCCTCATGTCGTTCCAATGTGTGCGCTGTTACAGGTTCCGTGGAGCACAAAAGGAGATTTTTTGAAGAATGTTCATGCAGCTCTTTTGCATACAATGACAGTTCAAAGTGACAATGAATGTGGTCCAATAAAAATGTTCATAGTCCATACTTTTGGTCATATATGCTCCTTTTTTTTTTTTTGCACATAACTATTGTGTGGCTTCAGAAGACTTGTTATATAATACACAAATCACATGGCTATATTTAAGGTGCGGTTTAATGTTTTTTCATTTTTGGAGCTTAGCAGCTATGTTCACTATGAACCATTATAAGATCATTTTATATATGCACACATTTTTATTTATTTATTTATTTTTCTAAATTCTTTGATGAATACAATTTTTTTTATTTGAAATATATTTCTTTTATAACATTATAAATGTCTCTCCTGTCACTGAATTTGAATTTAATGCATCCTTGCTGAAGAAAAGTATTAATTTCTTTCAAAAACAATAAACATTAAACCTTTCTTTTCATCTCTTTTACATCTTTATTTCTGTATTGAGGATTGTGACCTATGTAACCTGGCATTTTTCGTACATAATAATGCGTGTCAAAAACCACTGTTTTTCACCTCCCATCACATAATGATCCAAACAACTAGGTTGGAGAGATGTAAGAACTGCATGACCCTCGATTAATCCTTTTATTTTAATTTCTCTATTTAAGGTTGCACATTGATTGGTTGGATCATTCCTCATTAGCCATGCTGTGCAGAAAATGGATGGAAGGGTGGGCGGCAATCAGACTCTGCTAGTGGTAGAAGCCCCACCCACACAGCCAGGTCCACCAGGGGCCCAGAGATCTGATTACAGTTCATTAACGTGGTGTGTGTACAGGGGGTGGGAAGGACACTGGTCATTATTGTGTTCAAATGTAGGTGGTTCCCTGAAACACACAGGAAGACGTGGGCAGCACACACACCCATGCTGCAGCCCTTAAGTCCTTTGTGAGGAATACTGGATGCAGAGATATAATACACAAATCACATGGCTATATTTAAGGTGCGGTTTAATGTTTTTTCATTTTTGGAGCTTAGCAGCTATGTTCACTATGAACCATTATAAGATCATTTTATATATGCACACATTTTTATTTATTTATTTATTTTTCTAAATTCTTTGATGAATACAATTTTTTTTATTAATCATATACCGAATTATAGTCACTGACACGATATTACAGCCCCCCATGAGCTCTGTGTGAATGCAGCTCAGACTGATTGACTTAATCTTATTCCTCAACCTGATTTCGCGATCATGGTATCTCCCTTGCTTGCTATTCAGTCTCTTTTCTTTTGGATTTCCCTGTGAGCATTTCACATTCAGATTCTTGAGTGCTTACTTACAGTCCATTCATTGGGACTGTCAGGATGTCACTTGCTTAATTTATTCATTAACTAACTAAATATGCTTGTAATGCTTCCATGTGATTCCCTGTCTTGATCGTGGAGTCAACAGTGCTGTTGAACCGGTTTGATGAGAGT